TCCACGGTCAGCCGGTCCACGTGGGTGTACGTGGGGCCGTGGGGTGAGCCCGCATGGCAGTGGTGCTGCCCACACTTGGGTTGGACCCTAGGGCTCTGCGTCCTGCCCCACTGCCCCGCAGGGCACCCAGGGCTGTTCTCCTTCCCCGGCTCCGTCGTGGGCCACTGGATGGTCCAGTCCTGCTTGGAGAGGCTGCCACCTGCAAGAGAGAATCACAGATTCACAGAATGGTTTTGGTCGAAAAAGACCTCCAAGATCTTCAAGTCCAACCATCGATACATCCCTAAGTCTGCCACTAGATCATGTCCCTACGCGTAACACCTACTTCTCTTTTAAACACCTCCAGGGATGGTGACTCCACCACCTCCCAGGACAGCCCCTTCCAGTGCTTGACCACATTTTCAGTAAAGATGTTCCTCCTTAGATCCAACCTAAACCTCCCCTGGCGCAACTTCAGGCCATTTCCCCTCGTCCTAAACACTACCTCCCAGGGAGAAGAGACCAATCCCTGGGGGAGTTGTAGAGAGCGATAAGGTCTCCCCTCAGTCTCTTCTTCTCCAGACTAAACCCAGCTCCCTCAGCCACTTCTCATAATTCTTGTTCTCCAGACCCTTCACCAGCTTCATTGCCCTTCTCTGGAAATGCTCCAGTTCCTCAATGTTGTTTTTGGAGTGAGAGGCCCAAAACTGAACACAGGATTCAAAGTGCAGCCTCACCAGTGCCCAGTACAGAGGCAAAATCACCTCCCTGCTCCTGCTGGCCACACCATTTCTGATACAGACCAGGATGCTGTGGCCTTCTTGACCGCCTTGGGCACATTGCTGGCTCATATTCAGTCGATTGTCAACCAACACCCCCAGGCTGCTCCTCCAGGCTGCTCTCCCGGCACCCCCTCCCCATCCAGACACTCGTCCCCAAGCCTGCAGTGTCCATGGGGTTGTTGTGACCCAAGGGCAGGACCCAGCACTCGGCCTTGTTGAACCTCATGCAATTGACCTCAGCCCATCCCAGCCAGTCCAGGTCCCTCTGCAGAGCCTGTCCACCCTCAGCAGAACAGCACTCCTGCCCAACTCAGTGTCATCTGCAACCTTGCTGAGGGAGCACTCCATTCCCCCGTTCATGTCATTGATAAAGATGTTAAACAGAAGTGGTCCCAGTTCTGAGCCCTGGGGAACACCGCTCGTGACTGGGTGCATACGGACACGGCCACGCGGCACGCCAGAAACCGCAGAGTACTCACCCTTGGCCCCGCAGCCACCCCCCAGAGTACCAGCAAGGAGCTTCTTGGCGCAATGGACATCAAAGCCAACCAAGCACTTTGCAAGGGTTAGAGAGACTTGCCCCCTAGGTGTCCCCCCTCATCATCCACCACTACCCCAAAACGTGGCACGGGGATGGGACACCCCTCGCCTGGCCAAGGCGGACGCCCCCAGCTCAGCCCTGCAGAACCCCTCGGTGCCAGCCATTTGCATAAGGGAGCAGGGTTGTAATTAAGCGAGGCTCCTCTCTGCTTCTAATTATTCATCTTCACCAGCGCAGAGATGAATGACAGGCGGTCGGCAGCAACTTCACAGTGCCAAAGCCATGGACGCAATTCCAGACCCCATCACTGACTCCTTTTGATCACTATAAAAACCAACATAAAACCGTAATATCTTTATTTTTTAAAAGCATCCTTCCTCATCCCTTCTTTGATTATTAATTGCCTGTCCTCTTCTCTCCCCCGCCTTTTCAAGGGGAACGCTTTCTTTCAAGCTCCGGAGAAAAAGTAAAGGAGGAAAGGGAAATGAAAGCTGTAGAGTTGGATTGGAAAAAAAAAAGTTCTGGGGGAAAACAGGGAACAAGGAGTTTTCTTGAATCGCTCTCAGAAAATAAAGATTTTAAAAAAGAGAAAATAAAGGAAGGTCTATCCAGCTGCCTTTAGGGTTCCTGCTACAAGAAGCCCTTCAACCCAGCAAGAGGTTTGTAAAAAAGTTAATGCTCTTCTTCATATTTTAATGGATTGAGGAAAAAAACCCTGCTGGAGGAAAGCCCGGCCTCTGCCAGGATGCTGGTGTGTCTCTGAAGCCACCGTGGGCACACACAATCCCCTTCCTCACCGGAACAGCCAAGTCTGAGTGGGGACATGTTGAGACAGGGGACAGGTTGGGACGTGTCACCTCCAGCAAGGCCACCCTTCCTGCACCCACCTGTACCCACATCCCAAAAAGGGGTGCTCAACCCAGTGTCCCATAGCCAGGCTGGGGCCTCATCCCCAAGGCCACTGGTGGCCACTGGTCCCCACCGGTGGCCACCCCGGCTGATGGCACCTGGCTTCACACACAGCCTGGGGCTGGGGAAGGGCATAGGTGAGGGAGGACACAACATCACAAATTAACCAACCCCTCCGGTTAATTAACCTGCACCCGGGATTTGCAAATCAACATGCACATATGCAAATCAAGGTGCTTCCCCATTGGTCATTCTGCACACATAGATTTCCATAACTCAAAACTGGCCAGACGCTCACGCTGCCACCCCCAGCAGTAATTAGCAGCAGTTAATGAAGGAGGAGAGCCAGGGCTGCTTCCTGCGACCCAAAGCGGGGTGGTGGCACCGCAGACACCGTGTTCCCCCCTCACTGCCGTCCCCTGCGACGCTCAGCACTGCGAAACGCCACCGATGCGCTCGCAAGCAAAAATAACCCGGTACGGGGCTGGTGGGTGCGTCAGGGCTAAAAATACCCCGGCGAAGCTGTGAAAATGTATTTTTGAGGCAGGGTTGCTTACACGGCTGCTGGAGGTAGCGGGCATTGCACTCGATGAGATGCGCTTAAACCGAGAACATGATTGAAAGGGAAGAAAAAAACAAAATACCCACCAAAAACTAACAAAAAAGCTCCACCAAAAACAACGCCAAAAAATTAACAAATTTTAAAAATTAAGAGTTTTTTAAAATAATAAATTTGAAAAATCAAGAAAATGCGAATTTAAGAAATTTTAGAATGAAAAAAATTTTAAAATTAAGAAGTTTCTTTAGAAATACTTTTTTAAAAAATCCCCAAGCTCCTCTCTCCACAAAGCACATTAAACACTTTCAGATGTCGGCCCCTCACAGGTGCTGCTGCTCCCCATTGGAAAAGCAAGGGAAGAGCTCAATCTCCCCTTTGCCCAGTTTTACCCAAGCTCTGCCTGCCTGTTCGCTCATAAAAACTTAGTAATTTTCTTCAGATTAAAAAAAAGAAAAATTAACTGTGTATTGAGATGAGCACCAACCTCACGGGGCACCTCTCCCCTCCCAGCTCCATCAAGCCCTGGCCACCAGCACAGGGCCAAGACGACTCCTAAATATTCAGCTCCGGCTCGTTTTTCCCTGCAGGATGGCTAATGACCACGCGTAACTCACTAGTCACACACCATCAACTCAGCCCACAGCGGCCCTGCTCGCCTCTTACTTAATATTAAATTAAACCTGATCTGAGTTCAAAACTGACGCCTTGGCTGCTAATAAAAATACTGCTGCCAAGCGTGAGGCTTCACAGACGAGTAAAATCCAATACAGTCTTGTTAATATAATGAAGCAGGGGTTTAATACAGGCTCGCCACTATATTTGATAAATATAATGCTACTTTGGTTTATAAACCGTGCCGAGGCTCTCCTGGCTGCTGGGGCTGACCCCAGGATGCTCGGTTTGGGAAGGGGCTCTTT